TGCCGTGCCGAGCCGAGCCGGGCCGAAGCGGGCCGAGCCGAGCCGTGCCGTGCCGAGCCAAGGCGAGCCGAAGCGGGCCAGGCGGGCCGGACCGGGCCGAGGCGAAGCGGCCGGGCGGGCCGAGCCGAAGCGGGCCGAAGTGGGGCCGAGGCGAGCCGAAGTGGGCCAGGCAGGCCGAGCCGAAGCGGGCCGAGCCGAGCCGAAGCGGGCCTGGCCCAGCCGAGCCGAAGCGGGCCGAGCCGAAGCGGGCCAGGCAGGCCGGGCCGAGGCGAGCCGAAGCGGGCCGGGCCGAGCCGAGCCGAAGCGGGCCGGGCCGAAGCGGGCCGAGCCGAAGTGGGCTGGGCGGGCCAGGCCGAAGCGGGCCGGGCCGGGCCGTGCAAAACCGAGCCGAGCCGTTCCTCTGTCCTCTCTGCCACCACTCCCTCTTTCTGCCTCTGGCCTGTGCCTGGGGGTTCTGGGGAGGGATTTCTGGGACCTGCCCCTCTTTCTTTTTGCAGCAGAGCTCCTTTTTGGGAGGAGTCTATACCTGGACAGAGTTCCAATAAAGCAAGGTGCTGCTGTCCAGGGCAGTTGGAGTTGTTCTGTGCCTTCTTTGGGGGTGAGGAGCAAAGGCTGAGGGGGACGGGGTGGAGACTGGGGGGCTCCCGTGTCCCTTGGGGCACGCCGAGGTCCCCGCCAGAGGGAGGCACACGCTGTGGCTGGAGAGGAGCAAGGTGAGCGGGGAATGGGGAGGGCTCGTGCTGGGTACCCTTGCCCAGAGGGGACCCCGAGCTGCCAGGAAATTGCCTGGGAGGGCTGGATGCAGAATCCAAAAACCTGTGGAGTTGTTCTGGTTTTTACGGTAGGTATTGGCAAGGGACAGGAATTGATCTTTGGAATATGATTTTTGGCCCATAGTTGTTTATGAATTGTGTAAGCCATTATATAATCAAGTATATAATTGAGATGTGTCTAGTAGATGTATTACAGTTATATTGTGTGTGTGTATATGTGATGATTTCATTATCATACCATTTCACTGAACAGTGAAGTTCATTGGAGTGAAATCTGATTACTTGCATTTTAAAAACTCGCCCCCCCCCCACCCTTTTTGATTTTTTTTCACAGGTGTTTTATAGGCATATTTCAACATTTTCCTTCCTAATCCACGAGTAAAGGGAGATGTTGGGATTTGATCCAAAAGATCTTACAACCGATTTTGTGGTGAAACAGAGAAAAACCGTGAGCAGCCAACTCACTGGAAACCTGTATGTTAAACGCAGAGAAGCACAAAGTGTTTGATGCTGTTAGAGTTCAAAATAACAAGGAAAAATGATGGGGAATTTACCTGCCTTGGAACAAAGTGTGATCCCATCCCGTACTCTCAGCTCCCGCTCCCCTTCCAGCGTGGCTGTGACCCGGGCTGGCCGAACCGCTCGGTGTCTCTGGACCTCACAGCATTTCTACGTGGCTGCTGCACCCGGGTCCCCAGTACGTCCTGCTCTGGCCGCCTTCCCCGAGCGGTCCCACGTGCACCAGGCGGGTGCTACAGACCACAGGGGCCTCTTGGCTGCAGAGCTGGGTGATGGGAGACGGCAAAGCAATGCCCAGGATGCAGCTGTTCAAGCCAGCCTCGCCTCACGGAGCATTTCTTTCTCACCTGTCCATGGTTCTCTCTGTGTGTCTGTGGTCATTTTTAAACTGCAGGGCTGGGAGGCCTGGCCATTTCCCCGGGAGTGCTCACCCTGGGAGCACCAGTCTCTACCTTGGGAGGAAGCAAGCTGCCACCAGAATAAAAGCGGGGTGGAGCTGCTCCCACTCCAAGGCAAGAGCCTGCAAGGCCCATCCTTTGGGGACTCATCTTTTGTGTGAAGGCACATTGTCTAGCAGAGGAAGAGGTTGGTACCTGGTGGATCAGGGCCAAGATTCCATTTTCCCCATTCTGCCTCCTGCAGCACTGGCCAGGGCTGGGAGAGGAGGGGGAGTGTGTTCAGCACTGCTGCTGGAATGGAGTGGCCCTCTCAGGAGGATCCTGGTTGCTTCAGGGCTTTGCTTTTCCACTGGTTTGTGTCCACAAAGGAAAGGCATGCAGAAGGCAGCACCATCACCCCAGCCCTGTAGTCGGGAGTCCATCAGCTTTCCCCACTGTGAAAGTGGTTAAGGTCTCCTTAACCAAAGGAAAACTCAGCACCACTACAGATGTACAGAACAGCAATTTATCCACCGGGGCCTTCTGACACACTTTGCCCATTATGTGTCCAGAAGACTCCAAGTACTGACTTGACATGTCCACAAGTGTAGCCAAAGCCACACATACAGAGCAACACCAAGTTCTCACGGTATACCAAGAGAAACAAAGATTTAATAACATTATTTCTTAGACAACTGTTGGGGATGAAGTCAAATGTAAAGAAAAAATGGAAATGTAAAAAATCATGGGTGTTAGTGCACACTGATACAGAGTTTCTGCTTTTGAGCTCCGCAGGTGTTTTTTTCTTTCCTCTTTCCCTTCTTGTGTGAGCTGCCTTTGAGTCAGTTATGTTATGCTTAGCTCTGCTGCCACCTTGTGGTCACAGAGCGGTACTGCCGCTGTGCGCCGAGCCAGGGCCCTTCCCCGCTCCGCTGGGTGACGGGAAGGCGGCGGCAGCGGGAGCTACGGCAGTTCCGCGGCTGCCGAGCCTGGGGAGGGAGTGAGCGGGGCGGTGTCTGTAAATAGCAGGGAGGGGTGAAAGAGAGTGAAGTGTGTAAAGTGACACGGCCGGGAGCGGGGACACGGCGCTAAAAGGAGCGGCGGCCGTGCAGGCCGGCGGCTGAGAAGAATAACAGCAGTAGCGGGCGGCAGATCAGCTTCAGCTTCACGGACTGCGGGGAGAAGGAGGGTGAGCAGCGGGCCCGCAGCAGGCGAGGGGCGAGCACTTAGGTATTTTGCTAAGGTGTTTATCTCGGCCAGCACCTAATCGGGCAGTCCAAGTCCCCGCAGAAGAGGAACCGCTGTGAGGGAAGAGGCGCTCAGAGCCCGCAGCGAGCTGTGCACGACCTCCCCACCGCCCCTCCCTGCTCCGCGCTGCCATCGCAAAGTCTGCCTTTGCGAGCTTGCACCACGCCCGGGCGAGCTGGCGGCTACGCCCCTCCCCGCCCCCTGCCCCGAGTGCCGCTGGGGCGCTCCGATAGAGGCTCTGCGGGGGCCTTTTAGGCGGGACCTGGGCAATAGAGAGGGGCGGAGAAGGGGACGGGAGTCTGGCGAGCGGGAGCCAGGGCGACCGCGGACCCTGCGAGCACCCCTGGCTCCGCCCAACTGAGCGCCTCGCGCTCCCATGGGCCGCACCCTCAAAGCTTCCGCCAACCCCGGCCCGCCTTGCTCCGCTCTGGCCAATCACAGCGCTCCTTTGAATCCGGGCGCGGTCCCGCCAAGCTCAGCCCGCTCAGTCGCGGCCCGGCCCCTCAGCCCGGCCCCGCTCCCTCGTTCTGCTGAGGCGCCGCTCCGGCCGCTGTCGCTTTGGGAGCCGGCGGAGCCGTGCTGCCGCAGACCCGACAGGTGCTGCTGGGTCCCAGGAAGGGTGGGCGGGGGCTCCCCGTTTAGGTCCAGGCCGTAAGTTCTCCCAGAGAAACGGGGAGAAGGGGCGGAGCGGGTGGGATCGCCGGAGCGGGGCCTGAGGGGACAGCGGGGGGTCGCGGAGGCGAGCGCGGCGGGAACGGGCGGGCTGGGATTGGCGGGCCCGGCGCTGCCTCGGGATGTGATTGGCTGGGCTGGCCGGCCGTGGGCTATAAATAGCATGAGCAGGAGGGGTGCGGGCTTTAGTTCGGCGGTGAGCGGCGGAGAGGCGGCGGCGAGCGGCGGCGGCGGCGGCGGCGGGAGCTGCGCGGGCGCTGCGCGGGCGCGATCCAGGGAGCGCCGGTGCGCCAGGACGGAAGCCCTGCGCTCGCTGATCCGGGGAGCGCCGGTGAGCTCGGGCGCGACGCCCGCTTCTGCCGATGCCAGCATCTGGGGGCCGGCG